TCTTGTAATCTTCAAGATATAAGTTAAATCACTTCAAAATTCACTCACAAACAAAGATTCTTGATCTGTTACTATGCTTGCAGGTAATCCATGCAATCTCACTATCTTGTGAATAAAGAGATAGACCAATTTCTCTGATGTCAGCTTCTTTGTTGTAGGAATAAAGTGAGCCATCTTTGTGAACTGGTTCACTACAACCAGAATACAGTCAAACTGCATCTTCTCAAAATTCAGGCTTGCAGAGAGATCTGTAATAACATTCATGCTAATGGATTCTCAAGAGTAATTTGAGATTAATAAGAGTGATAGTTCTTCTTGGGGCTTCCTGCAAACTCTTCTTAAGCTCTGACAGATTCCACAGACTTCATAACACTTCTTCACCAGTTCTCTTATTCTTGGCCAAAAGTATTTGCAAGCTATAAGCTTGTATGTTCTTGCTGTAGCAAAATACCTCATGAGAGATAGATTATAATGATATCTAATCAGCTGTATTCACAGAGTCTTATTCTGAGAGATGTACACACAACTATCTCTATAGAGAATACTCTTCTCCTCTTTCCACATCATGAATTTCTTTGTGCCCACCTTAATGCCTTCACAGACCTCAGCTGCATAGTCATCACTTTGCAGTAGATTTGGCAGTAATGCCAACAGATTGGAGCTGCTCTTTTCATAAGAATTCTTCTTACAGACCAGGTCTTTAACCTTCTGGACCTGCATTGCAATCTTCTTCACTTTGCACATGTCTCCCAAGACAATCTTTATGAGTAGTTTCTTGATCTTATTCTGAAGCTTCACAGAGATGAGTTGCACATTCTCATCTTCTCTCTTCTCTCTCTGGTTGGAAGAAACTTGAGCTATTGATTCCAACTTTTCTGTGGTCTCTTACTCCTTCACAAGCATTACTCTTAGTTGGTTTGCAGTCTCACAACCCTTCTTATCATCTAGACCAGTCTTCTTGATATAGTCAGATCTTTACAAGAGTCCATCTGCCAGGTTCTTAGTTTCTTTTATATGGTCAACTGTGAATCAAAAGACTGTCAGTCTTTGCACCCAGCAGACCTGTCTTTGTAAGAGGTCTTGAGCAGTCTGAAAGTAGCACAGGCTATTATAGTCTGTAAGAACTTGAACTGATGTTCACAAGCCTTTCAACCAGCAGCATCAATATCTAAATAACTTCACAATCACAAGCAGTTTCTGATTATAAATGCCATAGTTCATCTTCACAGGTTACATCTTCTGTGAATAAAACCCAACTGGAACCCAGATACCATTCTTCACCAGCTGTGATAGAATACCACACATTACAAAGCCAGATGTATCTGTTTTCAATCTGGTCTTCTGTTCCATATCAAAATGGTGAAGCATAACAGCTTCCACAAATGCTCTTTTCAGACTTATGAAGACTTTGTGATCTTCCTCAGTCATGAAAGTGTTAGCCTCTCTTCTTATCTCTCTTTATGCATATCTGCTTAGCTTTGCTTCTCCTCTCTTTAGGAGAGCAGTCAGGCCACAAACTATCTTAGAGAATCTTGAAATAAAGCATCTGTAAAAGTTTGCAAATTCTAAGAAGATCTGAATCTCTTTCTTACTGGTTGGCTCTGGCCAGTCAAGAATAGTGTCCACACAGCTCTTCTCTATAAGAACACTCTCTGGTGTTATAACATACCTAAGGTAGTTAATCTCATAAGCATTGAACTTGCACTTTGCCAGCTTGCAATAAAGACCTGCATTCTTGAGTGCCTTAAGTACCAGTTTCACATGCTTCTCATGGTCTTTCTCACAAGCTGAGTACACAACCACATTATCAAGATAGACTACTGTAAACACATCCAGATATTCACTAAGTGTCTCTGTGATATATGATTGGAAAGCTGCTGGTGCATTCACAAGTTCAAAGAGCACTATCAAGTACTTAAATAGTCTCTGTGAAGTCTGAAATACAGTCTTTTACTTATTCTCTTCATAAATCCTCAGTCTATAGTAGATGTTTTTAATATTCAACTGAGTAAATATTGCAGCTTCTGTAAGCTTATACAACACATCTTTAATTAGTGGTAAAGAATATCTATTCTTGATTATTTTTGAATTCAGATCACAATAGTTCACACATATTCTTAGTTCACTATTCTTCTTGAATACAAACAGAATGGGTGCTCCTGCAGATAACTTGAAAGACTGAATGAACCTATAAGTTAGAGCACTGCTTAGATATTTATAAAGAGTCTCTTACTTAGCTTGTGAAAGTCTGTATGTTCTTTCAAATTCTGACTGCTTCTCTGGTTCAAGATCTATAGCTAAATCATCTTTATGATGTGGTGGCAGCTTTCAAGCTCTCTTGTTACTAAATACTTCTGTGAGTTTGTGGTAGACTTCTGATATCTGGAGGTCTAGATCTGCTGTCACCACCTGTTCTGATTCACAGAGAGTTATTATATAGATGAGCTTCCCTCCTTCCACAAGCTCTGAGAGATTAACTGGTTTAATCTTTGTGAGCAGATTGTGATACACAGTTTGGAACTCTAGTCTTAGTTTCTTGAAACACATCTTGAGATTGTGTCACTGCAGCTAGCTTAAATTCACTAGCATCTCATCTCTTATATTCACAACTATCACTTGTTTATAGAACAACTGCCAGTTTTCCTGAGAGTCACAGGCTTTAAAGAATATATTCACAATCTCTTCTGCAAGAGTGATATTCTCATAATTCATAGTAGTTTTGATCTCTATAGATATCTTGTGCATCTCTAGATCTAGCTTTGTGGCCAATTACAAACTGATCACTAGAGATTGACAGCCTGAATCTATTAGTACTGACCAGATAATACTTCTGTCAGTTGGGCTTTGTGTGTCTAGAATAATAGAGAGAAGAGCAAGAAGACTGTTCTTGAACAACTTTATTATATTAATTCTATCTACTTGCAGCTCTCTAACTTTCTATTTGCTACTCTTCTTCTTCTTGAGACAGTCTTTCACAAGATGACTCTTTTGGCCACACTCAAAGCACCTCTCATTCTTTTTCAAGACTTTATGATTCTTGATAAGATTCTTCCCCATCTTCTAAGCAGGCCTCTGGAGTTGACTTCTCTTATCTATTTATGGTCTTAAGTTATTAATCTTCATATCTCTGCAAGCACTTCTAACTGGATTGGTAGACTTTACATGTGAGGCATTCTTCACATAGACTACTGACACACTTGATCAGAGCCAGATGGCCAGTGCTACTATATTATTAATGTCATCTGGTATCTCCAGCTGTTCATCCAGTTTAGTTTGCATGGGCTTATCCAAGCCCCATATAAACAGGTTCTTCTTTATTTTTGCAGAATCTTCAAATTCTTCACCAATCTCTGTTATGAGCTCTAGAAATCATTAGCAATAGACATAATCAGTTTCATTTAAACTTTTGTGAAGACCAAAGATTGCTTGTCAAGAGTTTCACATACAGTTTGCTGGGTCTTCTAGCCTTATATGTAGAAATTCTTTAAGACCAGTTCAGTTGTTTTTTGATGGATTATCTTTGTGATGAGTCTCTCAAAGATCTTTCTCAATATAATCAAGTCTTGTAAGAGTATATGTAAGGGTATCCTCATCATTTAGTTTGCTTGTGTTGTGAATGGATTCAATATCTAAGATGAACTGGTGATATTCTGTATAGATTCCAGTCTGGTAGTACTTTGTGTATTGTGGTGATCTCAAGATCAACAGATGCTTTACAGATGTTGGGTTGAAGATAGCTATATCAAGAGATTCACTTTACAAGTGCTTTTGGGTGTTCTGAAGAGCATTTAACTTCTCTTGCTATTTTATTATTTTCTTTAGTAGTTTGGTCTTCTTGTGAAGCTGTTGGATTTTGTCTTTTGGTATTAGAGTAGACTCTCTCTCTGAGTTCACAGTGCTTGTTTTATTGACAGTTGAGAGAGGTGAGATGTTAAGATTGATTATCTCTTCACAAACTTGGGTTTGTTCTTCAGATAGATTTTTGGCTGGTGTTCCAGGTTTGTAAGTTTCAGAGAGTTGGCTTCTTTGTGTTGATATTATTATTGGGTGTCATTAAAGAAGAGTGGCAAAATGTGAGAATTGTATGTGTGGATCAGTGTGACAATAAATCTCTAGAAGAAATATACATAGAAAAAAGAGTATGTAAGATAAAAGATCTGTATTCTGGCAACTATATATAACTTGTAAACAAGATTGCCACTGACTCCCAGCAAGAGATTTGTGCAGTGACAGTCTTTTATGTGTGCTTGTGAGCATGTGACTTAGTGTCTCACAAGAACACATGCAACTCCCAGCAGCTTGCAAGCTGAGGCCTCTGGCCCTCATGGGTGCTGTTTGTCTGTGTAAGGGGTTCACAGCAAATCCTTACAGATGTATAAACTGCTATATTTTAAGCTATATAAGAAGAAGCTGCTGCAGTTCTATTGCAATATAATTTAATCTATTTAGAGGTTGTTGAGTGTAGATATTTCAGGTTAAATTTTAGTTAGTTAAGATGTTTTAATTTAATTTTTTGCTTGCTTGTAAATTACATTATCTTAAAATATTTTAATTTTTCCAGCTTTTACAATGTATACTAAGTAAATTCTAACAGAAAAACTGCTTGATAGTTTTTATAATTACTAACTGTATTTATAAAACTATAATAATAATAATAATACCCAATTATAATGTGTGGTTCTCTGTATTCTGTTCCACACTAGAAACCACACTAATTGTGCCTCAACCTACAGACAAGGAGATAATAAATAATAATATTAATAAGAATAAAAAGCAGACATTGTGAGCTCAAGTCTTCCCTCTACCTCTATAGTTTCTTGCATTTTTATTGTGAATTGGTGGCATATTTGCGCGTTGAAGTGGCTTGACTAGGGAATTGAAGATATTTTGGATTTGGGGTCCCGCTCACCTGGGTGCCCTGCTTGGGTTGTGGATTACTTTATTTGCTACTCCGTACAGGAGATCTATTTATTTTTTCACATTTGAAACCTAGGTGCCAAGGCCAATTTTAAAATTCAGACAATCTGCTAAGGTAGTGATCATGACTACAGAGTACACTAGCCTATTTTCAGCCTAGCATGGATTTGTGGGTGAGCTTGTTTATGTGCTCTTTGTTGATAGCTTAGGATTGGGCAGCAATCACTTGTTCCAGCAGCCACATCATAACCATGCCATGAAACCCACACCCTCCTGGCTTCAGAGTCAAAAAAAGGACTGCCTTTTTGTGATTCATTCTGCATGGTTTTGTATATATGTACTGTATGTACGCATATTCCTTCCTATCATACCACCTGTCGGCACTGTTCAACAGAGCCTGACACTCATTCGAACATGTCACTGATCATGATTTGTTGGTCCATAACTTCAGATATTGTGTCTTCAACGACTTCGAGCGCCTTCTGCCCACTGTCTAGGGATTCCTGGAGTGTTCGCTTATGCATTCCACTTACCTTGGTACTAGACGGACCAAAAATAGCGGTTTTTGTCGGGTTTCGAGGTTATCTTCCAAGCCTTTTCCTCGGAGGAGCTTTGGAAGATCTTTCCTCGGCGAAATCACAACCTCATGCCGTGAGTGCGCCTAGTCATTTCTACCATGATGCCCAGCTTATGACTGTTAACAGGTTTAATATTACCATTGATCACGCAACTTCCCATAGTTCGGATCATTCATCTCTGAGCGACGAGGAAGATTCATCGGGCACAGGGGTTGAAGTTTCACCCCCTTCAGCAACGGCAAGCCACGATTACCATGACCCTTATGATGTCGGTGGCCCATGGGACCATCTTTCCTATCCCGATGAGCTGAAGCCCTCTGACTCTGCCTCAAGACCGCGAACATCCCATTACCACCATGCGACCGTTGATAGCGGTCGTGCTAGATCAACCAGGCACCAATCTGCTCGGAGACGCGCTACACAAGAACGAGAGCCACTCGCACATCGGTCACGCCACCACCATACACCCCATCCTATTCCTGAGCCTGAAAGTGAAGACTCGTCTGAAGATTACCTCGAATATCCTCCAGGCCCACCTGAAAGGCGATTTTGGCCCCCAATTGCTCCCGTGCCACCCGGCGGATACTCCCATAGCACTTCGTCGGGCCCATCGTACGGTTCCTACCAGCATGGAAATACCGCCCATGGGCCATTACATTTGCATGCTCCGCCCCCTGGCGTACCATCAAATCAATTGGTGCAATTCGGGCCAATGAGTCATATGGGGCTGATGGGCCATATGAATCATTATGGCGTCCCTGGGCCGTATCCATATGGTCCAGGGTTTCCCGGGTCAGGGCACCCGATGCCTCCAGCTTATTTCGGCAATTCTGAGCGCCATCATTCTCCTCCACCTCATCACCATCAGCGCCCCCGAAGCCACTCCGGAGGACAAAGGGATGCCGAGAGCCCTCCACCAACCCTTGCACATCCAGTTCCCAGCCGCCTCAATTCACATTTTCCCGGCGCGCCATTTATCGCGCCGGATATGGTACCGTTTCACCCGCACTCTGGTTACTTCCACTACGGCCAGCACTATGGCTTTCCGCCAGAGATGATGCCGCCCCGGTATTATCATCCTTACCACCCTGTCCCTTCTCCACCGTCGCAGCAACCGGAAAAAGAGAAAACGCCACCTACACCACCGCCGCCAGGTCCTCCTCAGCCAGACCCCAAGGACGAAGCAATCGCACGACTTGAAAAACTCATCATTGACGAGAGAATGGAGCGAGAAGCCAGGGAAGCAGCTAAGGAAGCGGCTCTCGAAAAAGCTGCCCGCGATAAAGCAGCTGCTGAGGCGCGTGCCGCTGCTGAGAAGAAAATTGCGGAAGAGGCAGCTGCAAAAGCAACAGCAATTGCCAAAGCGGAAGCCCAGGCAGAAGCGGAGAAACTCAAGGCGGAAGCGAAAGCTGAAGCGGAAAGGTTGAAATTAGAAGCTGAAGAGATGGCTGCCGAAGAAGCCGCCAAAGCTAAAAAAGCTGCCGAAGAGGCAGCCACCATAGCCATAGCAGAAGCTGCGGCGGCGGCCACCGAAGCAGCGAATATGAAGGCCGCCGAGGCCGTGGCTGCTGCTACCGCAGCCGCAAACAAACCAGCACCTGAAAAGAAGAAACCTGTGAAGTTTAAAGATGCTGTTGGAAGAAAGTTCAGTTTCCCTTTTCACTTGTGCAACACATGGCAGGTGAGTGGACTCTCCTGTGATTCACATGGTTGTGGAAGAATATTTCAATTAATCCAACAGTTTTTAACGCCAATATAGGGTATGGAAGAGCTGATCCGCCAAGCCTTTCTCCATGTCGATGTAATTGGTCAACATGTCGCTGAAGGCCATTATGACCTTGTCGGTCCCAATGGAGATATTATTCTTCCACAGGTATGGGAGACGGTGGTGGAGCCGGACTGGACCATAACGATGCACATGTGGCCAATCCCCGAGAAACCAAAGGAGCCAGATCCACCACCACCGCCGCTGCCGCCGCCAGAGCCCGAGGAGCCCGCTGTTCTCGATGTCAAACCAACTGCCGAAGACATAGGTAAGTTGTCACCTGAGCCATACTTCCCAGTTCCCTTTTGAAAGGGTGTTCCGTCGAGAACATTCATTATATCCGGGTGATCTAATTTAACTAATGGCCTCTCACAGTCCCGGAGGAAGCTGACGCAGAACCCCTTCCTCCTCCCGCCGTTCCCAAAAAGCCTCGACCTCCACCTATTCCAGGGGCTTTCGCCTTGTGGATGACAGGTACCCGAGCGAGACCAGTGCGGTCTTTAAAAGTGGGAAAAAAGCCTGAAGTAGTACAACAGCATGATGAGGCCTGCTCAATCATGTGATGCCAATTGGAGCTTTGGCAGCCCCGATTATTCCACCAAAGCTTTTGATACTCGACTCTGGAAATCTTTACAATATGGACTCGGGTAGTGGGTGACGTATTTTGGAGAGGCTGAAGTAAGACGAGCAAATTGCGCTAAGGTGAAACCAGCACATTCGTCGCCGTTCAAGGGTGACGGCTGATGTCTCCAGCAGTTGTAGTCTCAGTCTCCTTTAATTTTAAACCTGTCAATCACTATTGGCACTCACTTGACAATGACTACTTTAGGGAGATATGGCTTTTCCTCCTGGCTTTGATCGGGATTGGTTTCTCATATCTCAGATGGGGACGCTGATGATGTCTATTTCATATTGGACTTATGAGTTGATGATAAATTTAGTATTGTTTTTCGTCTCTCTCCCCTCTTCTCTTTTCTGTTTTTCTTTTTTGGGTCTACAATGGGGTCATAAGGGAGTATGTGTGCTGCGAGCAATTGTGACCTGAGAAAAGAAACCCATGATGATTGAAATTGATGATTCAGTGAATATAAGTTATGAACCTGTTTGTTAATGGTTTGGCGCATGTTTTGGAGCAGTTGCATAACTAAGTCTTTGTCACTATCCCCTCGTCCGGCCGCCAGGCAAAATTAGCGCCTTGGCACCAGATTACAAACTACAGTATTAATGGCGTTTTTCTGACCAATAGTTTCACATACTAAAATATATGGGAATCTATTGGTTAAGCAAAACACATTCATAGCTGGTTTTTGTGTTGATTTTCAAAAACGCGTTTTCACCTTCAAATCTGCCAAACCCCTACCACCACAACGATCAAGTACAGATCTTATTCATTCACAAACTACATTGTCAGCTATAGCAGTTTGTGCCTGATGTCAGTATAAAAACAGGGTCAAATGAAGAAAGGCCAGGTCCCTAGATCACTGCATGCTTGCTCAGCATTGCTGAGAAAAGTTCCATTCTATGGAATTGTAATATAACCAAAATAGGCTTAGAGCGAATAAATTACAGATTACCGCCAAATACACCAATTTCCAATAGAATTCCAGTATTAAATACGCTACTGTACACGCTAATTTCTACGCTAATTTTGCCTGGCGGCCGGATGAGGGGATAAACCTTCACAGTCCAGTTAGTCATCAAGAATTCAGGTTCTTGTTTGAATGAATCTGCCATGGTTCACCTTTAATTGAAGTAGTGTTAACATAGTGCAATATTTATTCACAGTGGTCTTTTTATTGCTTAACATGACACAGATAAATGTGTGTTCATTACTCTGTACTTTGTACTAGAAATAATATAAAATAAAATTAAAAACTTTATATCTCTACTAGCTTGTAAGGTAGTTCACCACTAAACAAGCCACACCACTAAATGAGCCAAATTTCACCAAATGCTTCACACAACAAATTTATTAAATATCTCAACAACCAGATCTTTATTATTAAATAGCTATTAAATATTAAATGAATGTGTTCTTCAAAGTATAGAAATTAATGTAGTTAGAAAAATAGACAAATAGATGGCCTAATATTGTAGCCAGAGTGAGAGATTTAGAAAGTAAATAGAAAAGAATTCAAAGAAATATCAACAGTTGATTTCTTGACTAGAAAGTCTAATATCTTGCTAGAGAGGCTTGTAGAGCTCTTACTTTCTCTTTTAAAAGATTGTATAAACTCTCTGTAATAAGACTTTTTAATAGAGAAGTTCTTCTGATAATACTTTGAAGCTGGCACTTGAAGCCCTGACTATTGATATTTAATAATATGTTCAACTATCTGTTTTTCCTTCTCTGCTAGTTGTAAAGTCTGCTTCTTTTCATAAGCAACATGTTTTATCTCTCTTTATCTAGTATGTTTGATTTTTTTGATCTCTTGTTACTTGCAGATTTTTTTACAGATATTTTCTTATTTAATGTATCTTTTTTTAATATCTCTAGCAATCTGTTTCTTTTGAAGCTCTTATTAAAGTTTTCTCTCTTATATTTAAGTAATTTTATCAGCTTTTTTAATCACTATTTTATTCAGATGCTTATTTGTCTTAAGAACTTTTATTAAAGATCAGAACTGTACTTAACTAGAATTATCTTTATTAAGTAGATCTAGAGACTTGTCTTGCTTACAGTATTACTTCTCTATTACTAGAGTTAATCTTAGATACTGATTCTTATATTTTAGTAATTTATTACAAAAAGCAAACTGCTTACTGACTTGAATAATCTGTCTAATACTCTATAAATTTAGACTATACTAAAGATATATATTCTTGATCTCTTGTTAAAGCTGGTGCATATTACTAGAAATAAAAAATTTAACTAGTAGTATAGAGACTTGAGTAGTTTCAAATTAATATAATTAATATTGAAAATCCAGAGAATTAATTCTAGTCTTTACAAAGCCAGTAAGTATATTTTCAACTGTTAAAGTTTTCTTCCAAGCAATATTAAATAGTTTCCAGAAATCTCTTTTTGTTATTTGAATGTAACTCATTCTGTAATATAGTAGTGCTTCTAGCTTGTTAGAATATGTCTTGCCTAGCAGCTTAGAAATTTCAACAGCAAGAGATTATAAATAGTAGATTGAATGTGGTGGAAGAATTATAAGAAAAATTTTTTTATGGTTAGTATATTTGATAAATTTCATATTTATATAAAAGAAATACTTATTTAGATGTCTTTCTTAATCAGTTTGTTTCTTAGTATACTGATTGAAAATCTGTTTTAATTACTCCAGTTCATATTTATTATTGCTTCAACTATTTGTTAAAGCTGTAAAGTAGACTTATTTGCTTCCATCATAATCATCTTGCTATATATTCTGAAGATCTTGCAATTTGCTCTGATAAATAAAAGTTAAAAATAATGCAATTTCTTTAGCAGAGACTGAGCAGAGTAATAAGAGAAATTTCTGACTATTATTCTGAGTAACAGTATTCTTTTCAGCTTGTAGAGCTTTAATAGAGACTAATTACTTTGAGACATAACAAAAGTCTAGAAGAAATTGTTTTTTGTCAAAGTTACAGATGTTTAAGAGCTTAAGATTATATTAATTAATTTTCTGCTCCAACTACTCTGTAAGTAGTAGTTAAATAGTTAGTCAGCATTAACAACCACAATTATAATTGATCAAATAAATTATCAAATTACAAGTATATAAAAGTGCTTAAAGCACTGATAGTTATCTACTATTTGTTTGTTTTAATCAATTGCTTTAAGATAAATGTATTTGATCTTGTTATTATACTACTTGCAAAATTAATTAATTTAGTTGATTTTAATATTCTCTTCTGTCATTCTTTATATAATATTTTGTAAAATCTGAGATGTAATGACAAGACTGCAGCTAGAGAGCTTATTTATATAATTCAGAAGCTCTGTCTTCTGTATATTAGAGAGCTTTTTCTTATATTAGGAAACTGCTTGATTCTGAGCAAGTTGCAAGTCTTTATATTATCAGTACAGAGTCTCTCAATTGACTGAGTACTTTCTTATAGTTGCAGCATAATTTGAGGTCTTTTGTAATTTAAGATCTCTAATTGCAAGTCCAATTGAGGTGTTGTTGACCATGTTGTTGCATATTGAATGTTGAATGTTGAAGAAATTTGGTGGTGTAAGATATGACTTGTTTAGTAATGTAGCTTGTTTAGTGGTGAACTACCTTATTTATATAAATGAAACAACACTTCCACTATTGATTATTTTCAAGAGAATATTAGCAGCTCTTCAAAATAAGTAAAGTACTACTTTTATATAAGCCAATATCCAGTTCCAGAATTTCCCAACTCAGCTTCAAATTTTTCTCCCAATTTCTATCTCAAGAACAGGATTGGGTTGAAGCTTAGATTAACAGAACAGGATCAGATTATTTAACAGTATATTGAAATGAATGTGTAGAAATTGAAACCAGAGTAAAATTAAAACCAGAATCAAGATCTAGCTTGTAGAATATCTATAAGATTTAATGTGACAAAATAAAGCTGAGATTTTAATATTATACATAAAATAGAATCAGTAAAGTATTATTATTATTATTATTATTATTCATTATAGTCTTATGCAGTTAGTAACTATGAAGACTATCTAGTAGATTATCTGTTAGAATTTATTTAGTGTACATTGTAGAAACTGAAAAAAGAGATAAATCAAAGTATTTCAAGACAATATGAGATGTTCTTTCTCCACAAAAGTTAAATAACAGATAGTATATAAAATAAATTTTAAAGAAAAACAAAAGTCTTGTAGAAGTGTAATATAAATTAAAGAAATAAAGTTAACATGTTTGAGAAAGCCACTCTCTAGTAATTATTTCAGTATATTTCAGAAATGAAACTAGCCATTTCAGGCCTAATTCAGTTTCAAAAATAAAATTTAAAGATAGTTGGGAAATATTAAGTTCTTGTTAAATTTTTCTTCTTTCAGTTTAATAAGCTGAGCAGTCTAATAGTAGATGCTTTGGATTTTCAACACAATTGCAGAAATAGTATAAGTTGGAAGGGTAATCAGGTAATTCTCTTCTAAAGAGCTTTGCATCTTAAGCTGCTATATACAATGCCTATAACAACCAACTGCTGCATCTGGTCTATCAGGCTCTCTAGCAGGTTCTGCTTCTCTAGCTAGAGATCACTGCTTATCTGGAATCTCTCAAGCCCCAGGCTTCCAGCTACTAATCTTAGCATCTCAGTCTACTAATTAACTGTTGCAGTCTTACTCCAGAAGGCCTAGTCACTTTCTGAAACTAACTACCTATTCTATAGTTTTTTCACCATGCTATATCTAAGACTTAGCCCTAAGTTATTACTAAGCAGGGAGAACCTACACACAGCTCTAGTGAGTCAAGATAGGCCTGGGATGCTCTGTCTAGCTTGTTCTCTTTGCCAGCCACTAGCCAAGCATGCAGCTAGTGGTCAAGCACACCTCCCATCTCACACACAGTGAGGTAGCAAGGGTTCTAGCCAGTCAGGTGATTTTCAAAGCTATCCTTTAGTTAAAGACAGTCTCTAGAGATCTCTGGCTTTCAGTTATGAATAGAGCCAAAACTATTCAAATTTTATTGACTTCTTTGACAGGCAAAAAGTTGTTAGTGATGCTTGTGGGAGGATTTAAACCCCTGCTCTCAGAAGAGAGCAGTCTGAGCCAGATAGTGCTGTTGCTATTGAGTCACCTGTACTAGGCAATCAGTAAAGTATATTATTATTATTATTATTATTATTATTATTATTATTATTATTATTATAGTCTTATATAGCTAGTAACTATAAAAACTATTTAGCAGCTTCTCTGTTAAAATTTAATTAATATACATTGTAAAAACTGAAAAAAAGAAAAAATTAAAATACTGTCAGACAATATAGAATATTCTTTCTTCAAAAAAGTCAAATAACAGATGGTACATAATATTAATTTCAAGAAAAAACAAAAATTCTTGTAGTAATATAATACAAATTAAAGAGAAATAAAATGCATATTTGAAAAAGTCATTATCTAGTAGCTATTCCAGTATATTTCAGGAATAAAACTAGTTATTTTATACCTAGTTTAGTTTCAAAAATAAAATTTA